TTCCCTACAGAAGTTTCCTCATACGAATACCAATTTTTCACTGAATCTCCTGTATCAGCATTCCTAGAATTGGCTTAGCTTTCCATTTCTCTCCCAACCCCTTGCTATAAATAGCTAAGCCTCATATATCATTTAAGGAGAATAAAACATTACTCCGTGCATTCATTTATTTGATTTTACAGCCTTGCTTGTATGTTAATCAAACGCATAAAGTGCTGAGGTGCATAGGTGCCAAGTAAAAGTCAATATTTTACCGTGAACCTCATTTATCTACATTAGCCTGAAACAAGGTAGATCTGTAAATTTGGACATTATTGAATTTAATGACAAAGATCAATTACAACATCTTTGACACGACAGGGATTTGTCAGATGAGGGGGAAAAAGCATTACTTCTTCCTAAGGGAGCTTATAAATGCTGGCTGCTTGGGACTGTCCGTGTCTTCCAGTGGGCTGATGCATGTGAATGCTTAAATAATATTAGTTGAATTTGAGATACAGACCCACAGTTTAAAAGGAGTTTAAAACAGAGCTAAGTTATAGTGAGCTCTCTGAGGGATTGCTCAGCAGGATTGGCTGGAGTACAAGAAAAAAGAACTAGAAAGTGTCTTCATGGGAGAGATCCACAATTTGGCTGCAAAACTGAAAGCAATTCTGAACTCAAGCTGCTTCTTTCTGTGTCCAGTACACAAATACCAACGATAACTGTTTTATGAGTGCTGCGGTAGTGCAGCCTGTTAACTACAAAGCTCCCCAAAAGTAAAGCACAGCTTTTCTGAAGGCAGCCTGGGAAAACATGGACAATAACCTCAACTGATGGAAACTGTCACCTTTCACTGAAGCCAACATCTATAGATATGTAACACTTTCTACCCATCCTTCAGCCCTATGCCCTTTCTCCAGCACTGGGTGGGAAGCATTAGGCTGTCCAAGTTGCTGATACAGTATCCACCCGATAAGATGGTGTTTGACAGCAGCCACTTACAGCTTGGCCTGACTGGAAGGCAGGTAAGGTTTCCCAAAGGAAAAAGGATCTTCCCCCCCCCACCGCCCCAATATTCCAGACTTCCATCCAAGGGTTGGCCTTTGAACTCACCAAGAACTGAATAAGTTCAACACACCTCAGGATTGGCCGTGTGTCTCAATATGTTTTTCCAAATCGTAGAATCATAAAATGGTTAGAGTTGGAAGGGACCTGAAAGATCATCTAGTTCCAACCCCCCTGCCATGGCCAAGGACACCTTCTGCTAGACCAGGTTCCTCAAAGCCCCATCCAGCCTGGCCTTGAACACCTCCAGGGATGGGGCAGCCACAACTTCTCTGGGCAACCTGGGCCAGTGTCTCACCACCCTCACAGTAAAGAATTTCTTCCTAATATCTAATCTAAATCTACCCTTTTTCAGGTTAAAACCCTTACCTCTCATCCTATCTCTACACTCCCTGATCACGAGTCCCTCCCACAATCTTTCCTGTAGGCCCCATTTAGGTACTGGAAGGCCACCATGAGATCCCCCGGAGCCTTCTCTTCTTCAGGCTGAACAACTCCAGCTCTCTCAGCCTGTCCTCATAGGAAAGGTGCTCCAGCCCTCTGATCAGCCCTCTGATGAAATAGAATTAAACTGATGTTACTAACTTTGGGGGACTCAGACTTGGCCGTTTGAAGTGTTTAAGAAAAGCCGTGCTTGGAGAGGCACTCAGACGGGGTAGGTCTCAAATGGGGTTGTGTAACTTAGAGGATTTTACATAACCAAACAGACATGTCTTTAAAAAAATCCTTACACAGTGATCTACAAAAAAAAAAAAAAAGAATTTTGCTGTGAAGGTGATTTTAAATTTTAAATGCAGAGGGCAAGTTAAGCACTGGGATAACCATACCCAGAAAAGGTTGGTTTGCTTGTAAGCCAAACCTTGGGGTGCGAGGTGGTACATGGATCTCTGTGGGTGTGTGGCAAGACAGGGATGCAAACTTCTTGGGATAGTTTGCAAAAAGGTGTCTGGAGCTTTAGTAACATTCTGCAAATGTGTCACCAGTTTTGACCCAGAATATATAGCTCACTGGTTGACAGTTAATTACATGTCATTAATACATTTATAAACTGTTTCATCCTGATTATGGTTTAAACTGAATCGAGCAGGTTTTCCCCTGAGATACAGTCAGAAACAGTCTCAAGTTCCTACACAAAGTTAGCTTTTAATAGGCCAAACCCTGGTATTTTATCACCATCTGCTGGAGACAAAGTGTCATTCACTTAAAAACGTAAATTCAGCCTCAGCCTTAAAACTTCTGACTTCATGGACAAAATAATCCATACCTCTCCAAAAAGATTCAAAGATCTTAAAGGCAGCAAAGATGTGCGAGACCTCCATGGAACTCAGGTCCCAAAAAGTCATTTGAGAAACAGACAGAAATTGCACGATCTCCTATATTCTCCTACAATTAATCTGTTCTGTCATTGCTAAATCTTTCACTGAACCATAGTCAGGGGCTGTCAGATATCACTGCCATGACAAAGGCTTCAAGGTTGTTGGTAAGTGAAATAAGACTCACAGCGCAGACACCGATTTCCTCTGTCACTGGAAAATAAAAGATCACTCAAGGACAGTAAACCAGGTAGTTTTTTACCATTGTAAGACCAGTGATCATCTCTTTTAGCTGCCCAGAGGGTCTTAAAACTGTTTCTCAAACCTCAAAAAAGCAGCACTACTAAAAAGCAAACTACATTCTCCCCCCTTCCTGCCCCTTGCTGCAACCTAACGCCCTTATGGCTTCCCCCAGTCTCATTATTTCTTCTGTCCTCTCTTGTACCTCCTGTCACACTGAAACGCTAGCACTGAGACCTGCGGAAATGTCTGGATTTGTCCCACTTAAATTCCAATGTAACTGGGGCTCCTCAGTTAGAAGGCTGTACTGCCAAGATGTCTTCTGTAGTTACTGGCAGCAAAGATACACTTCCAGAGGACAATTTCCATCTTAGAGGAGCATCTATCTAGAAAGAACAGAAGGAAACCATGTTTTTAATTTAGGTACTTCCTTCAGGTTGTTAAGTTAGGTGACAAGTCCTAGGTACTCCTTTCTTGGCTTGGTGCTCAACGTAGAGGCAGCTACAGAGGAACTGCTGCAACCCCTGGTGAGACCTGGTCAGCATGGATAGAGTTTGTGGTAGTGACAGGATGAGGGGGAATGGATATAAACTGGAAGAGGTCAGGTTTAGATTACACATTAGGAAGAAGTTTTTCGCTTTAATGGTGGTGCGGCACTGGCACAGGTTGCCCAGAGAGGTTGTTGAGGCCCCATCCCTGGAGGTGTTCAAGGCCAGGCTGGACATGGCTTTGGGCAACCTGGTCTGGTGGGAGGTGTCCCTGCCCATGGGAGGGGGGTTGGAACTCAATGATCTTCAAGGTCCTTTCCAACCTAAACCATTCTATGATTCTATAATTCTATGATTCTATTGTCCTGGTTCTGAATCTCTCCTGAGCATGTACAAAGTGGGATTTTTCAAATATTTCATACATAGATGCAGGTGAGCTTATTTTCATGGCATCATTTCCAACTCAAGGCTACCTGCCACCAAATTGCAAGTCCCTCCTTTACAATATGAAGGAATTAGGGCTTCTGAAAGAACAGGTCATCCAATTTTGGGGTTTTTGTAGCTTGACCAAAACAATGTGATTTTTGACCCATGTCTTGGGAACAACTGAAATATTCTGGCTGAAACTTTCACATCTGAAAAAAAAATAACCTAAGGCAGGCACTTAGTGAAAAGAACTTTAGTCCTAACAGTTAAAGTTTGGAAAAGTTGAGAAGCAGCCAAGAAAAGGTTATAATAATGGCAAATTATAATGCAAATTAAAAACTTTTAATATAAAACAGTGCCACGAGTTGCACCTGTGTTCACTGTCTCTGGATTTTGATTGCTTTACACAGTTATTTGAACAGACCCAAAAGAACATAGCAAGTCGGCAGTTAAGTTGGGCACTTTGGCTCTTTTTTCTAGTCTCCAATTAACTATTCAATCTCTGCAGATTTATCTGGTAATTTTTCCTGATCGCTATTTCTGTAAACAAAATGTTCACTGCCTCCTAAAGGGTGAAGATTGATACCACTTGGTCAACAGCTTGAGGAAAGCAGCAACACAACGAATACAGGCCACTGGCCAGCAGAAAGACGATTAAAATCTCTTTCTGAAATGACCTGAGAATCACCGACCCTGAACCATTCAACATCGCCTTCCTGCGTGCTCCATTCAGCCTTGTTCCTCCTCTATCCCATGAGGCAGCTCCTTCTTCATGGACACCTTCCTTCCCACCGCATATTTCCATTACCCCAAATGCGCTCAGCTCTATTACCTGCTGGCACCGGGGTGTTTATACACAACCTCACCAAGCTCTCAAGAAACAGAGCTCAGCCACACAGAGGAATTAATTCTTGAAATATCTCAGGACTGTTAATTCAGGGGAACAGGTCAAGAGTCCATTCTTCAATATTCTCTGATCTCCACTTTTGTCTGGTTAACAAAGCAAGCTTTACCACCTTCCCAAAATGGGAGAGACACCCACCTGTGGGCAGATGTGGCTAGTGCCTGTCTGACTGCTGAGAGCTAGAACCGGCTATGGGGCTGCCTGCTGGGCGAAATGGAGTACGGGCAGCTTGCTCAGCCTAGAATTCATAGAGACATAGTTAGGCAGTTGCGGCTGCCTGAAACACTGTGAACATCAAGAAAACATTCTCTCCACTTTCTTCCTTACTTGCACAGCAGCAGAAGGGAAAAAATCTCTCTTCCTGGAAAAGAAGATGCAAAGCCCTGACCTCCTTGAGACCAAGAAAATACAAGACAATCAAAAATATGGAACAACTTCTGCACAATAAATGACTACATAAGATAGGACTCCTCGGGCTGAAAAAGCTGCGAGAGAGGAGGGACGTGACATAAGCTCCTGAACTCATTAATGGCCTGGAGACTAGACAGACGGCAGAAAAATACACCAGCAAATGAAAAGAAAAAAAATGCATTTAGAGAAGGAAGAAAGGAGAAGAACAAAATACCCTACATCACCAGTCTTTTACAAGCTATTGTTGTTTTTGCAACTGTGACTAATTACAGAGAATCATAGAATGGCTGAGGATAGAAGGGACCTTGAAGATCATCTATTTCCAACCCCCCTGCCATGGGCAGGGATATCTCCCACAAGACCAGGTTGCTCAAAGCCCCATCCAGCCTGGCCTTGAACACCTCCAGGGATGGGGCAGCCACAACATCTCTGGGCAACCTGTTCCACTGTCTCACCACTCTCAGAGTGAAACATTTCTTCCTCATATCTAATCTAAATCTCCCCTCTTCCAGTTTGAAGCAATTACCCTTCGTCCTATCACTACACTCCCTCATTAACAGTCCCTCTCCAGCTTTCTTGTAGGCACCCTTCAGAGCCTTCTTTTCTCCAGGCTGAACTTTATCCAACTTTCTCAGCCTGTCCTCACAGCAGATGTGCTCCAGCCCTCGTGGCCTCCTCTGGACCCTCTCTAACAGGTCCATGTCCTTCTTATGTTGGGGGCCCCAGAGCTGGATGCAGCAGTCCAGGTGGGGTCTCACGAGAGCACAGTAGAGGGGCAGAATCACCTCCCTGAACCGCCTGGCCACGCCACTTTTGATGCAGCCCAGGATATGGTTTGCCTTCCAGGCTGTGAGTGGACATTGCTGGCTCATGTTGAGCTTCTCATCCAGCAACACCCCCAAGTTGTTCTCCTCAGGGCTGCTCTCAATCCATTCTCCGCCCAGCCTGTATTTGTGCTTGGGATTGCCCTGACACACATGCAGGACCTTCCACTTTTTGAATAGACGCTAATTTGAATAGACCAAGCTCATAGTACAAGAAAATTACTCTTTATTCAGGGAAAAAAAAAAAGTTACTGTTAACAGTTTTTGCTCATCCAGCGTCCACACCTCAGTGCACCCACGTTCGGATACCTGTAGATGCTGCTGGTCTGTGCGTTCAGGTGGCATCCCAGTACG